AGATGATAGACAGAGATAGATAGATAGACAGACAGACAGACAGACAGACAGACAGATATAGATAGATAGACAGACAGACAGACAGACAGACAGATATAGATAGATAGATAGATAGATAGATAGATACTTTTTGAAAGAGAGCCTCGTTTACTGAAATCACGTGACTCTGGCGGTTTGATACGCGCTCCGAATCACTGGTTCTGAACAAATGATTCACGAAGGTTTGAAAGTTTCACATAGCAAGTGCTGAACCCCTCGAAAACCATCAACAGACCGGCCTGACCACCCTAGACTGGTTCAAGCTTCCCTAAACAGGGAATTGTGCCGCAGTGTGCGTCTGCAGTCGTATTCACCGTCCAGGTCGTTCTCCGGTGTCTCGGCCGTGTGCCACTCGCTGCTGGGCCCCGTGCCATTGACCGTCATGGCTGCCAGCTGGAAGCTGTACTGGCTGCCTTTCTCCAGTCCTGTCAGACAATAAACAAAGAGCCAGAGTCAAAGGAGAAGAAAATAACATGCACGAGTGTGTGTGTGTGTGCGATTATTATTTGCGATTCTAATTAGTAAACAGCAATCAGTCGAGGCGACGAGGTAAACAAGGTCTCCAAACCTCATCTAAACAGATCAGGATGCATTTCCATCATGTGTAAAGATAAAAAAAACGCAATTATGATAGCAGGGCGCTGTCATCCCTGAATAGTGTGGGGAATGAGCATAACACACTCCAGCGGCACTGTGAAATCAATCCCTTCGGAAATAGCAACTTAGCGAGATTTCCATCAAGAGAATAATGGAAATGAATACGATTTTCCAAAAATTTCAGAAATCCTATTCAAGCAAACACGCATCTACGCTCCTGAAGCCCCGGAGGACGACAAATCTGGTGTGATGCGTCGACTTCTTTAGCATGCAAAGAGAAACAAAGCGTGCAGAGGAGTGCGACGCAGGAGAAACACGTGAATCTGGCAGGAGTTCAGCTGCAGCTGATGGAAAGCACAAGCGTCTCACACTCACCGGTGAACAGGTACCAGAGGTTGTTGGGTTCGATGGCCTCCTGTTCGCCCCGTCGGCCCGTTTTGCGATGGCGAATCTTGTATCCGGTGATGAATCCACTCTGCGTGTTTGCAGGCGGCGGCTGCCAGCTCACCTTAATGCTCTGAGACAAACACAGAGATCATCTAAACATTGGCACATCGGTTTATCAGCTAGAGCGCATAGAATATCTGTTCTGTTCAATGCTAAATTACAAATGAACATACGATATGACCAATCACACACACACACACACACACACTCACATT